TGTTAATTTTGTGGACCGTAAATAAATATCTGTAAATGGGTAGGTTGTTCTTTTAGTGGAAAAAGGCTGAGATTTCCCATCTTTTCACTGGCCTTGAAYGTAGCATTCCAGTTGTGCTGTAAGAAAGTCTCAAATTCCCTCTCTCAAGTCTTGTTTCACCTGCTCATATCTTTTTGAGATGAATTTATCTCTGTACTTAACCAGTGTTTACTGTTGACCAACCAGTAAGAACTTTAGTTGATGAAACTGGCTTTCCTTGAAAAAACAGTAGAGCTGGATATCATCAGCATAAAGTTGATATTGGGAAGGAAATATCAAATGAATCTGAGGATCTTTTAAACACTTGTCTTCTTAAGCCCAGTGAGTGTGATTTTAAGACTGTGATAAGTCAAAGTATTGAAACTCTTTGTATTCATGTTTTGCTTGACAGGGAGAAGTGACTTGTGCCACAAAAGGAAAACTGTCTCCGTACGCCGACGTCCATTTTGTTTTTCAGAGCAGCTGTGTGTGAGGAGGAAGATGGTTCCCAGCTTCTTCATTCTTCATTGTATATTTTTCCCCAGATGTCTTGTATAGTGTTGTGATGGAATGAGTTTTGTTTTTGTCTCATTATTGTTCATTATTTTAATTTTTTAAGAGGAAATTTATACACTGTCCGGATGTATTTTGCAGTAGGACATCTCTCTTTCTTGTCATCACTGGATTATAAAACCCTGAAATTTGAGATATTGCTGACTGTAACAGTGATGTCCACAAATCTCTAGTTGCCTTTATTGATCACTGTGTCTTTCAACTGTAATGTAAGCCATTATTACTTTCTAGGTTAAGGTATTGTTGGTGTTGACTGCAAACTTTTATTTTAAATTGTAATACTATTATTCTGAATACCCATGAAACCACTGTGTACAACAATACTTATTATAGTTTCATACACCGTGAAGAGATTACTGGCTTCTGCCAAATATTTTTAATAATAAATATACCTCAGTAGTACACACTGGCAAACCCTGCAGCATCATCATGCAACTTAAATTAGAATTAAAACACTGAATGGTACATTTTTATAAATTTATACACATAAATTGCTCCTCGTGTGAAGGATTACTGGGAAAGTAGGCACTCCTGACTCAAACCGAATTAGTAGAATCACTGGAAAACGTGTTATAGGAGTAGTTCAGACTATTTAAAATGGGGTTATAAACAATTAATATCTCACCTGTTGTATATAACGCTTTTAACATCCTCAATTTTGGATAAATATTTAGATTTTTCTTAATAAATGCAAAGAGGTTCATGCAAATGCTAATGCTATTTTAGAATCCTTTGYACCACTTTGAATTATACAGTTAATACAACAGAAATACTAAGATATTTTTCAGGAAGTGCTACAGCTAACTGTAAAATTTCATGTAAAGGTTTAAAAATTTGTTTACATGAACTTTAATGAGATGTTTGAAATTTGAGTTGCTCTTTAAAACAGTAATCCACTTTTTGTATAACCTTACAACAGGTACGATATTAATTGCTCATCATCTTTCCTCAGAGCCCATTTCAAAAGACACAGTATGAACGGTCCCTTTAAGACTGGATAAGTAAACAGGGACTAAATGTGTTGATACACTGACCTCTCTTAGTGAAAAGTCTGACACTGACAATATTTCAAGAAACACTGGAATAGCTTACATTGTGTTTTGTTAACTGGAAAAATGCTGGTTTTTCATGAAATGGCATCATTTCAGGTGCTTGCCCAATCATTTCTTTAAAATAATACATTACAGCTTTGAAGGAAGATTTGTTTTTGATTTATTTTGAAGGTCTGCATCACAAAGCTGTGAGGAAGGTAAAAAAAAAACTAATCTAAACAAGAAAATGTTACACTGGATTTACAGTATTTGTTCATATATTTTTCTTGACATATTTTATCTTTTTTGTGCCTATAGGACTAAGACTATGCAATGATAACACTTTGAATATAACTGAAATGTATGTTTTCTTTTTGTATTATGTGTTTTTGCTCCAGAGGCATTCTCTAATATCACACAATATGCACAAATGGTAATAAATCTGTATTCCGTGTGTACCTTTGTTTAGAGAATTAAATAAAGCAGTGTAACTCAAACAAACATTGCCAATAAAGAGGAAAAAAGCCATCAAAGATAATAGAATTTAAGATGAAATGAAGACCATCTTTTAGTATACTCAGTGGGTATTGTGTACCATTTTAGCCTATTTAAAATGCACCAGCTAGCATAAAATAAATCACTGTAGCACTTTTATTCACTTGTATATACAAACTGCTTTTGCTCCATCCAGTGCATCAATCTGGTGTCAGATATTCTGGTAGAACTCCTTTTACTGATACCTAATGTTTCATTTAGTATCTGTTGTCTTTTATTGTTTTATTTCTTTTGTTTTTTTATCAATAATATATTAACTTTTAGCTTTGAGAGTCGATAAATAATTGATAAACACAAGAAAACACCTAGATACACATTTGTTATTTTTTTCTCAGTTTGAAAAATAAAAATAAAAGCTTTAATCTCATTGGCTACATTAATATCACTAATTCGTGGGCCTATTCTATATTAAATTTCTTAACCTTTGGTCAGAAAATATTCTGTAATACTATGATTGTAAACAGAAAATAAAGTGGTAATTGCACTGCCTTGAGTTTGCTTAACTTTCTGAAACGTCTTGTTCTTTCAATCCGCTAGGTGGCAGTAGAGACCTTCTCGAAGATGTAAATGAACCAGGTCGTTTTTACCATGGATTTTGCCTAGAAACATAAATAGTTCATCGCATAGTAAATAATTCTGCTTTATATAAATATTATTAATAAATGAAATAGCACATAGTGTCTATCAAAGCGAGTTTTTAAGATGTATACGGCATTAATAAAAGATAGACGGACTTGCCTGAAAGTCAAAACTGAGGGAAGAAATCACCCACAAATCGAACGTCAGTCGTGCGTCAAGCAAACCAGGAAGAGGTAAACAGTACGTGGCCTTTTCATCTGAGACAGCAGCTGCGGGAGGTTTTCTTCTTCACAAAATGGTAAAGAACGGCTCAGATTTATTTTTTGTAATTTTAGTTTTAATATGTATTGGTAGGTTTAGCCATATGAAGCACGTGTGAAGCAGAACTTTATGTCTGAAAGTGTGGTAGCAGGCAGATTTGTGATTTTCCACTGATTTAAAGTTAGCTACTTGCTAATCCTAATGAGAACCCATAGCCGATTTATTTGCAAACTTAAACCAAAGTCACAGCCTAATTTGTGAAAAATAACTAACTTAGGTTTTCTAAGTTAAAGCTGGCTGTATCTTACATTTGCTCTCTTTTGTTGTGGCTGCAGGAACTCGAGGCCATGACCAGATACACCAGTCCGGTGAACCCTGCGGTGTTCCCGCACCTCACCGTGGTCCTGCTGGCCATCGGGATGTTCTTCACCGCCTGGTTCTTYGTGTATCCTTTGATTGCCTCTCTGTTAAATTTATGCTGCAGTTCCATAGTGGGGGGGGGCAGTCCCTGTAGATGGCAGAGTGGACTAATGCAGAATGAACAAGCAAGGCACCATTGTTTTGTTGTTGTTTTACCTTAAAATGTTGTCACCTTTTACATCTTGTAAGTAAAACCCAATATTTTACACACTAGCTGATTAAAGCAAAAAGACTGAACGCGCACGGCCACTAAATGGATGCTTGTTTTAAAAGCAAATCTGCCACTGCTGTATCTAGTACTCTCATGATTATTTTAAATTATTATGAAATTGCTGTGAGATCTGCAACCCAAAAGGTTTTAGGGTGTCTATTAAAAAAAAAAACTAGGTTTTTCAGATCAAAGTGAATCATATATATACCATTTCATTATGTTTGTGTTATAAACATGTAAACACAACAGCTGTCTTGTCTTTTTAGCTTTAAAATTGTTTAGTGAAACTTCTTGGACAAGAAAATTAAGTATGTATTTAAAAGTGCAAAGATGGTCTGTGACTGAAAATGACATTTATAACGATATACTCTTACAGTTCAAATAATATTCAGAGGATGTATTATTTTCATGCCTATTAGTGGTACTACTGCACATGCCAATTTTAATTATCTATATATATGATAACATTCATAGTGTGAATGCTGAGTCAGCATATAATGATGCTGTTTCTCTCTATTCATTTTGAGTATTAAAGTTTCTTCTGCAAGTATTTTGTCCACTAACTCTTTTTACACCCCCCACCACCACCCCCACTGTTGATAGCTTATTCAGGACATTTTATTTAAGCTTGTGTTGTTTTGGAAATATTGATCGTTTTTAGACAATTTTTCTTTTACAGCGATGATGAAGAGAGCTTTCTTTACACTCCTATCAAAACCTTTTTGTTCTTTAAAACCGCTTTTTGCCTAATTTAGCTTTTGTTCTTTTTCAGTCACTTTTCTTCTACTTCCTTCTGATAATTTAAGCATTTTGTGTTTCTTTCTGCTCATTTTCAGCTGTTAAGCATTTCAAGTAAATATTAGTTTCTTCAGCATTCACTGCAGGAAATCCAAAATCTCTTGTTCTTTTTGAAATGAAGGAAAAATTTACATTTTAAACAGAAACCCACATTTTCTCAAAAATGCATATGAAAATAAACAAACCAGTTTAGTAGGTATGTACAGAAAATAAAGTATAGTACATAGTATTTTTATTTTTTTATGCTTAATTTTAATTCAGCCAGTCTGTTTCCACTCATATGGTCAGTGTGCATAGCTACTCCTGAAACCTTTACCAATAATTATGTTCAGCTTTTGTTTTTTAAGTACTTAACAAAAAAGATCTGCAGTTCAGACAGAACAATTTTCAGAAGTTTTCTTCGCGTTATTTCCATGTTTTGTTGTTAATTGCAGGAAAAAACACAGGCAATGATGGTGTGTGTGTGTGTGTGTGTGTGGGGGGGGGGGTATCTTTTAAAAATAGTGTGTATAGTTCAAATTGTTTAAATACGCTTCACACTCCTCCTGAAAAGGCTCCAAAGGAGGTTTGACTGCAAAAAATTCTAAACATTTTAACAGAGCGACATCTAATGAAAACTATTTAATTAGAACAATTTAGAAGCTGTTTTGCTGTCAAGTCAAAATGATCCAGTTTTCTGTATAAGTGACTGTCAGATGTGTAGCTTTTGGTTGATTCGCAGAAGAAAATAAATATTACACAACTGTAGGAAAACATTTTAATTAGGAATCAATAGTCTTATTTTAATTAACTAAATTGAACCATATTAGGWGTTCAATACATTTAATTGGCCTGTGGCAGACTGGACTGAGAGCAAAGAGTATTTTAGATTATTTTTGTACTTTTTTTTGTTTGTTTACCTCAACTCTTCATCAGTTATGAGGTGACGTCAACAAAATACACAAGGGACGTCTACAAAGAGCTGCTGATCTCCCTTGTGGCTTCACTTTTTATGGGCTTTGGCGTGCTGTTCTTACTGCTGTGGGTCGGCATCTACGTATGAGGGTACGTCCAAAATCCTGTTAAACAGATTCCAGGTTACCCAAACAGACTTAACTACATACTCTCTTTTTCTTTTCTTTTTTTTTTCCCCATCCAGGTAGACAAATAAAGAAAAGACACATTCCACCAGAAGGACATCACAGACAACACGTACAGGATTTTGGATTTAATTGTTTGGCACTGACAATATTTGGAATCATATGGACTCTGGATATTATTTCACAAGTAAATGGGATTTGTACAACTTTGTTGTCTTTTTTTAACCCTGCTCAACAGTAATCTACTGATTTAATAATACTGAGGCGTAGCAGTTTTTTTTAAATGTCTACACTGGATCCAAAGTGCACTTCAGCTTCTCTTGACTAAGAATAGAGAGTTATTTTGTTGCACAGATTGTTATTTGTGGTGCGTTTCACTAGTGGYGCCTAAAACCTCAATCCCTGATTAATCTTTGCGTTAAAAATAGAGCACCCTGTCTCACCTTGTCTCAGGATAATACTGACTATCCCAGTAATGAAGGATTACACAGTGATTAGATAAGGATTATTTCATTTTAAAAAATGTCGTGAACACAATTCCTAAAAAAAAATCTCTGCACAAAATCCACCTGAGTTGATGTAAAAACAAATTGGCTCATAAAACTTACATTAAGTATGTAAACAACATGTACAAATGTTTTATAAGRCAAAACAGCTAAAGTGCTCTCTTCCTCTGAGGAGAACATCTTAACGTTCAAACTGGACTATCATTATAAATTGTTCTGAATATGAGTTCTTGGGTACAGAACAGAAAACAAAAACATGCCAAGGCAGGTAAAACATGTAACAATCATTCTGAAATGTTTCACTTTCTCTGAAGTCTGCAGTTCGTTTTACAAGGCCACCAAGATTACCAACCTCAATCCTGATTAAAACTACACTTCATGTGCCATCCTCGTGTACACCTACCTGTGTAAACCACTTAACCAACCAGCTGGCCTTCTGTGAGGACCCAGTAAACAAAAACCTCCACACTTGGTGTCCGCCACTACCTGTTTGTGAGTCCCATACATGTTCTGAGTTCCACGTGAAAATATAAGAATTCATTCAAAGTGTCTGCTGAGGCTGCCCTGTCTTGGAGTGTCCCCCCCCAAATCATTTGGGGTTTCCCTTAAAACTGTCCTGTCTTCACTGACGGGCTCTGGCGAAAGCGTCACGCAACCACAGAGAGTCCTCATACAGCCTCGGGTCTCCCATAAACTCCGCCGTACGTTTGTACAAGTAGTAGTACAACACAGCCGCTGTGAACAGACAGAGGGAGTTAATGAAAATATATGTGTGTGTGTGTGAGGGAAGATAAACCTGTTATCTGCAATGAATCACCTGTTCTCTGGAAAACAAAAAGAGCTTGGAGACCATCTGTCCAAACGAAGCGGTTTGAATCCAGCCATCGTAGGTTCTACAACAACAGAMAAGTCAATATGCACTGCTAATGATTTGCGATGTAGTTTATGCGTTTAGGGAGGGGTTTCATAGGGGTTTGCATAAACATCTGAGTGGCTGACCGTACCAACACCCAGGAGTGGAGACAGATGCTGAGGGTCAGGTAGAGAGCGGAAAACGCGAGCAGAGCCCTGAATCTCTCCAGCAGTAGAGACACCAGGCCGACCTGGAACACGTAGGTGTTGAACATCATCAGGAGGATGATGATGTTGTTGAACAAGATGGCGATGTCCTGGATTCTGCAGTTTCCAAAGAACAAAAGGCTGTGTGTGAGAGAGTAATGGTGATTTGTCTCAGAAATGACCATTTCTAATGAGGTGTAAAGTAGGGCTGTGTGTGGGCAAAAATCTGGTGATCTGATTCATACCATGACACAAGGGTCATGATACGATATCTTTTTTTCTCCAAAAGATACTAATTTTAAAAACTCAGTATAAAGAGCACACTACACTGTGTTGTACATGCATAAAATCTGATTCAGTTCAGTTTATTTTTATGCAATCAAACAACAGTTACATAACACAGAACTGCATTTGTATTTAACGTTTCTTCCTACATCAACCATCCATCGAGCCTTAATTAAGAATCAATACAGTGCTTCTAAGAATATATACAGTATCAGGAAATGAAATATTGCAATTTTCAGTGTTTCTATATTTTCTTACAACCCTAGTGTAATGTGGTGATATCCTGATACAGATACTGGTTTTGGTTTTAGGCTCAATAACAGCATGAAATCACCCCGATACAACTTTTATGCTTGGTGATGTCATCTCCATTTTGCAAGTAACTGAAAGTAAAAATTAAAAAATGTCTGTAGTTAGATATATTTTTAGATAAAAACAAGTGATGTTAAGACAGCAGACTGTTTGCTGTGTTCTTAATTAAAGAAACATGTTTCTAAAGTTATTGTGTAATGTTTAAGTACTAACTCAACTACTTGGTATTGGTATGCAGCACCACTTGTACCCAAAMTCTACTTGTACTTAATCTAGAAGAAAAAAGTATTGGGACACTCCTATGTTAATAATCAGAAATCACGAAAACAAAGAAATGTTGTGGTTAAAAAGTTGATTTCTTTTTCTTTTTTGTTAACAAATCTTGACTGGAAAAAGAAGCTATTTTAGAAAGAAGTTTAACGCATTTTATATATATACATATATGCAGCTGCATA